GTTTTGCCCTTGCTTTTGAAAGTGTTTCTGTGATCTGCTCTCGTATTCTTCTGTTTACAGCTCATTCACCAGATGTAGGTGGCTTGAAGGTGGGGGTGGAGGCAGATGCTCCTCCAGGTTCCCTTGGTGGTAGATATAGAGGAGAGGGGCTAGCTAATGCGGAGAAGAGGTTGCGAGCTAGGAGCTCTCATCAGCTTGTCTCTGCTTGTTTGCTTTGCTATACATGAATGGGGGAACTTCATCAGCCTCAGTGCGTCATCAATTTTGAAAGAAGCTGTTCAGAGTGCATGCTATTGGGGGCTGACTCTGAAAAATGGTCCGACTGGATCTATTATATATTTTTTGAGATAGTGTCCTAGGGTTTTGGTCGTTGTGATAAAACACTGTGACCAAAAGTATTTGGAGGAGGAAAGTGTTTTTCATCTTACACTTCCCCACCATAGACTGTCACCGAGAGAAGTCAGGGAGGAAACTCAAGGCAGGCACTTGGAGGCAGGAACTGAAGCAGAGGCCATGGAGTACTGCTTACTGACTTGGTCCTCAGGACCTTCCCAGCCTGCCTTCTTATACAAGTCAGGACCAAATGCACAGGAGTGCATCACCCACAATGGGCTGTGCCCTTCTACATGAGTCATTAATCAAGAAAATGCCCCAAAGGCTTGCCTACAGGCAATCTGGATGGAAGTATTTTCCTCAGTTAAAGTTCCTCTTTCCCAGATTACTCTAGCTTATGCCAAATTTGACAAAAGAAAACCTACCAGGAAATTATTGACCCCTTGTCAATTTGACACACAAACATATTGCTATTAAATCATAATTTTTCCTTTCTTATTCCCAAAACATCATCAGCATGATAATATAAACACTCCAAGTTTTAAGTCTAACAGTCTTTAAATTTTTTAATGCTTAAAGTCTAAAGTTTTTTAAAAATATTCAAGATCTTTCTAAAAATCCAGTTTCTGCAACTCTAAAAGTCTCTCTTCTCTAAAATTACCAAGTTTTTCTAAAACATCCAAGGTCTCATAATTGTGGATTTCTGTACGATCAAAATAAATATTTTCTTATCCCAAGAGGGAATAAACAGAACATAGTCATGAACCAAAGCCATCAAACCAAAGTCTGCCAGTGTGAAGCTCAGTGTCTGACATCTGGGGCTCACGATCTTCTGGACTCCAGAGGCTTGAGTAGCTGCAGGTCTCGGGCTCTGCCATCTACAGCACACACGGCATGTCTCACGGTTTCAGGCAGGCTCCACGCCACAGCTGCTGCTGTTCTTAGTGGTCCTCTCGTGGTGCTGGTGTCTCCAAAATGCTGGTGTTTCCACGGCACCTGAGATGCCTCTCCTGGCCTCTCTTCAGGGTTTCTGGACCGCCACGTGGTGCCAAGCCTCAGCTTCTCTCTATGGCCACTCCAGTCCTGGGGCTTCTGCTGCGCTGGAGGCTTCTTTCACCAGCGTCCTCTCCTCGCCTCGCACAGTGCCAAGCCTCAGCTGCTCTCAAACACAAGAGCCTACAGGGAGACTCATAGTTAGTACAAAGAACAGCTGCCAGCAGGGGGCATATCCTAGGTACCTCTGGACCACAGCTCCTGTGTGCTGACCTGTCACAGACGATGTCTCCTCAGTGTTGCTGGTCTCTTGTTACCCATAGCTGATTCTTCAGTCCCTCCTGACTAGTACTGATTATCCCAGCAAAGAACCAGTTTTGTGGTTCTGATCTCCTGTTAACCACAGCTGATTGATTGTTCAGCCCCAGATGACTCAGGACCACAGATCTCGAGTCTTAAAATACTGAAGGAGCCTGATAAAGCCTTTAAGGGATTCTCCGACCTCCTTCTGAAACATCACCATTGAGGACTTGGTCACTAGCAATACTCCTAGTCCCTTATATGCAGATCACTCAGTGGCTTTTTCTAGCATAGAATTCCTAAGTCTTCCCATGATCCTTCCCGAAACACGTGATCTGGTCTTTCGCAGCAATGCCCTATGCCTTGGTACTGATATCTGTCTCCATTATGGTTTTCGTCGCTGTGATAAAACATGATGACCGAAAGCAACTTGGGGCAGGGAGGGTTTGTTTCATCTTATACTTCCACATCATGGTCCATCACCTAGGGAACTCAGGGAAGAAACTCAAAGCAGGAACATGGAAGCAGGAACTGAAACAGAGGCTGTGAAGGAGTGCTGCTTACTGGCTTGGTCCTCATGGCTTGCTCAGCCTGCTTTCCTAGTCATTCGAGTCAGGACCACATGCCCAGGGGTGGTACCACTCAAAATGGGCTGGGCCTCCCACATCAATCAGGCAGTGCATATATTGATTGCCTACGAGTAATCTGGATGAAGGGATTTCCTCAAAGGAGGTTCCTCTTTACAGATAAGTCTAGCTTATGTCAAGTTGACAAAAACCGGTCCGGGACAGATGGAGTATCACATTGTAACAAAGGCTGACCCGAAGTGGACTGTAGTGGACTGTGTTAAACTCCTGGCTGTTCCCCTATTTCAGCTTCCTGAGTGCTGGGATTAGAGATGTGAGACACTGCCTAGCTAGGACCAGTATTTAGACGTGAATGAAGCAAGAGGGACGAGAGCGTGGGTCATTAGAGCGGACTGCCTGTTGATTCTTTGCTGGGCAGCTTTGAGACAGCTTTCTGTTCCGGTGCGCCCTGAACTTTGCACCTATTCACAAGCTCCCGGTGAAGGTACCTTCACAGGAGCAGAGAAGCCACTCCTTGTTCCAGAGGCCAGTCTTGTGTGTCGGATGAAAGATGCCCGGATGTTTATAACAGTCGCCGTCCTCTCTCTCTCTCTCTCTCTCTCTCTCTCGTAGAGCTGTTCTGTTTGATTATGGACTTTGGGATAATGCCACACAGCCCTAGAGATGGACGCCAAGTGATTGGTGTATTCATCTCGATCAAATGCTCTAGAAAGTGAAAAACAAACACCAAACTATTAGATGGGCATTGCTAGATTATCAAAGAATTGGCCTGGCTATTACTTTGAATTTGCATTGTGGAGCAATTGGATATTTGCCTTTAGAAAAATGTTATTATATAGCATTTTTCTTTTTTTTTGTTCGTTTCTCTGTTCTCTCATTATTTGCCTCCATTTCCTCTCTGACTGAAGAATATTTCTTGGTCCTAAACTGCATGGCTGTGCTAATTGCTTCCTCTCCCTTCTGCTGTTTTTCCCCGAGTATAAAATGACTACACTAGTAGGAGAATTACCTCACAACAGCACAGCAGATAGCCAACATTTATGTAATGCTTTGTGGCATAGGAAACTCTTTGGTGTGTATTTTTCCTTTTCTACTTAGGCAGCCTTATGATGTGGGAGTTACCAAAGCCTTGTTTCCAGAGAGCATGGAGCCCACCCGGTTCCTGTCACTCCCGTCAGGCTGCAGAGCCGGCTTGTTCATGACTTCTATGACAAATTCCATGTGTCACTTACCCCTGCCCCGTATCTTATGGTTTAGGTTCTTTAATTGAATTCACATTTATTTTATGGAAGTGATTTTTTTTCCTGATCACGATATGGTGCTTGATTTAATACATCAACAGCCATTATAGATATATTTATATGTTTCTATCTACTGAGTGCAACTATGCTAGAAAACACGTTTATTTAAAAGAAAAACATCTGAAGGCTTCTCTAATGTATTGGTCAGGTGAATGTTATCTTTAAAGGATTTTCTTTTTTTTCTTTCCTCCTTCCCTTCCTTTGCTCTCACGCTGTAGCCCAGTCTAGCTTCCAACTCGCCATCCTCCTGCCTCACTCTCCTTAGAACAGGGTTTACAGGTGCACTTCACTACACCGATGTCAGTATAAGGAATCTTGATGCGTGTTGGCTGGCAAGCATTTTCCTTTTGTATTTTTCCTGAATTACTTCACATGCATGGGTATTTTGCTGCATGCACGCCTCTGTACCTATTGCATCCTTTTCTCGTTTTCTTTGGAAGGGTGAGAGTAACGGTGGCCTATCAGGGTCCTTCTCCTGTGCAGAAAGGCTGGGCAATTTTATAAACTAATTATTCAGAGAGTCATATTAGGCACAGTGAGAGAAAAAGATATGAACTTGAGATAGAAAGTCAAGTGCCTTGGATGTGAACATCCACCCTGACTTCATGCTAATGGAATCACCTGATGTGTTTTGAAATGTGGCAAGGGGAGATGAAAAGAGAAACAGATTGAAATCTAACTCTGAAAGTGCCAGGATGTATATACTTGGGAAAATGACTCAGATTAGTGTTTTAAATTATGAAATGGAAATATTAATAAATGTCTTGAAGTGGCTAGCAGAAACAGCTATTACATATTCTCTTGGACAGCATAGCAGGCATGTCTGTTAGTCTTTCTGTCGCTGTGACAAACACCCGAGAAAAAGTTTAATAAAGGAAGGATTTATTCTGGCTTATGATTTCAGAGTTTCAGCCCATGGTTGGCCACATTGCTGCAGTTTCTGGTGAGGCAGGATGTGGTGGTGGGAGGTGTGTGGCAGAACAGAGTTGCTCACCTCACTGCATCTGGGAAGCAGAGAGAATGACTGTATTATAGGCCTTCTCCTCTTTTATTCCATCTAACTCTGGCCTGTTGGCTTCTACAGCCATGGGAAGGGCAGGTCTCTCCCCTGAGTGACTTCTCCTGGAGACTCAGATGAACCCAGGAGCTCTACTCAAACTGAACATTGAGATACCATTCATGGCGCGCTGCAATGCTTAGCTCCTTCCTGCCTCCCTTCCCGTGCCCTATGGGAAATGTCAGACACACGTTCCTAGGGCCTGCAGTATCTCACCTGGGATGAAAGTAGCCTGCATCCAGTAAGCATAGTGCCCTACAGGGGTGGATGGGGAGCCACTGAGGGTCCAGCAGACACCTCCAAGAGTCACTGTAGCCCTTTGCTGAGGTTGACCCTCATCGTTTACCTTCCTTCCTCTTCCAGTTGTCTCTGTCTTGATGACTTGGCCAGGCGTCCTTGGTAACTCTGTACCCTGTCTCTTTCTTCTAGAACTCTGAAGGTGGACTCTATGTATGCATGAATACGTTTTTGGCCTTTGGAAGGGAACACGTTGAAAGACATTTTCGAAAAACTGGACAGAGCGTATACATGCACCTGAAAAGGCACATGCGAGAGGTGAGACGGGTGTCTGGAGAGTTCCTGCATGCCCCACACAGGGGATGACCATACCCTCAGAACCCTGCGTTCTCTATGATGACAGGAAACCGTAGAAGTTTGTAGGCACTCAGGTTCCCTCCCACCCCAGTGCTTACCTTAGCCAGTATTAGTTTTCTTCTTCTAGGCCACTTGTTGGAGTTAAGAAGCTGTGTATTTGATTAACTGGAAAAAGTAATTTTAAGTTTAAAATATGAAAAAGTACAGACCTAATGCATCCCAATGTTTTCCTGAAGAAAAACTTTCTTGAAAGTCTACATCCCTTTGTCTCTTTAAAAAATATAATTTTTCTTTATTCTTGAGAATGTTATATAGTTATACTATAAAACATGATCATAGCCACCCCATTTCTTTCTCCAACATACACCCCAAGTTGTCTCCAACATGTCCCTTCCCATAATTTGTGTTCTATCTCTTTTGATAACCTACTGAGTCTGATTAGTTCACCCTAATGTGGAGCTGTCCTCTGGAGCATGGAAAATGTAGCAGTGGCCGCATGTTCAGAAAAGAGTAACATTCCCTCTCCAGCAGTTCTCAACTGCTGGTCACGCCTCAGCAAGCGGTGGACTCTGGAGAGCACATCCTTCACCTCTGCTGGGGCCTTGACTGGCCTGCTCTTGTGAAGGTCTTGTACACACCATCACTGCTGTATGAGCCAATGGTGGCAATACCCTGTCAAGTCAGAGCTCTGCTTCCTAATCTCCAGCTCTGACCGTCTTCTCCTCTTCTACCATCTTCCCTTGGCCTTGTGGAGATGAGGGGGGGTCTCTTATTCTTGGCACTTTGGCTGGTCATGGGTCTCAGCACTGGCTGATTGCCCACTTCAGGAAGAAGTTTCTATGACTAAGGTTGAAAGTAGTCTAGTAGTCTGTGTAGAGACATAAATATTAGGAACAATGACAGCATGGCCATTTAGCAAAATAGTAATAGGGCCCATGACGTCCCATAGCTGTCGGCTGTTGACTAGGGTTACAGAATCAGGCGTAAATCCTCTCCTGTAGAGCAGACCTCAAATCCAGCCAGAACACAATTACTTTCCCTGTAATTGTCATGCCGCGAGTAGGTACATCTTCCCCGTCAGCTGGATAGTCCCTCATGCGGGTCCAATAAGACCAATGTTTCTTTGATTTCTCTGAAGCTTGCCCAGGAACTGTGAAATCTAGCCAGTGGGGAAGATAATTTTTGCTTTGTATGATTTTTCTATGATCTTTAGCAAGATTGTGTGGTGTATTCAGCAGTAGGGCCTTACCATGCAGTTATGGTGCTGACCAAGGGCCGTGGCAATAGCCTGTGCTGTTTTGGATACCTCTGGGGGCTCTTGACCCTGTGTTTACTAACCCATGTCTTCTAGGGGTAGCGTTGTCCTCTGATGTACAGTAATTCTGTTTGAACCCCCTTTTTAGTTGTATTTTGAAGTTAGCTTACTAACTAGTGGGTTTCCATATAAGGCTTTTTCGCACGTCCTCAGTTTTGGTTAAACCCACCCTATGTCTGGGATTATAGCTGTGTGCTCCAAGGCCAGTTTATGTGGTGTAGGGGATTGACCTCAGTGTTCTGCGCCTTCCAGGCAAACACTCTACAATGGAGCCACATCCCCAGTTCCCTCTGGAGCTCTCATTCCTCCAAAGTGACCGTCACTCGTTCTCATCATCATTTTCATGCTCAGCGTTATATCTTAATTGCATTTCTGTGTGGATAGTATGTAGTATGACCATGTGCTTTAAAGACATGGATGCATGTCCCCACACTCTCATCTACGACTGGGCATAGCACCTCACCGCTCAGTGTTGCTCTGAACGCTAGCTGGGCCGAGATGCCTGTGGGTTTATTTACAGAATAGTATTACAGAAAATACTAAATATCTGTTAATATGTAAATTTCTCCTCAAATAATCTGTAAGTTCCATTCTTCTCCTAATGCTGAATATTCGGATTGCTTCTGTTCTTTGCCACAATAAACAATACCACAGTGAACATTTTAACATATTTTCTACAGAAACCCTTATACAAATATTTCTGTAAGAAACTTACCTAGTGATCCCATTGGCCTGTGGGTGCTAACCTTCATTTTTGGCAGGAGAAGGCTAATTCTCCCCAGGATGCTTGTGCCAGTTGTCTTCCTGTCTAAGTGGTAAAGAATGAATGTATCTCTGTCCACACCCTTACCATTCCTTGACCGGACTTCCAATCTTTGCCAGTCTAATGGTTATGAAGTGATGTAAAAATATTTGGCATTTCATTCTGTGATTGAATATTTTCTTGCGTATTTATCACCCATTTAGAAAAATTATGATTCTCAGTGAATGTTTTCTTGGTGACTTTTCTGAGTCACTGTTCTGTTACCATGGAAAGAGCTTACATCTGATCCACACAAGGCGGAGACAGTGTGAGAAGCTGCCCTGTGCCCAGTGGTTCACCTCCTAATCTTTCCAAAAACAGTTCCATAGGGCCAGACATTCAAAAATATCAGCCTGTGGTGGCCGTTCTCATTCAGGCTGCCACTGTATGTCTATGCCTGTGTGTGTGTGTGTGTGTGTGTAGACCACAGGGGTGTGTGTGCATGTGCACGTGTGCGTGTGTGTAGACCACAGGTATGCGTGTGCGTGTGTATGTGTGTGTGTGTAGACCACAGGTGTGTGTGTGTGTGTGTGTGTGTGTGTATCAGAGGACAACCTTTGAAAGTCAGTTTTCTTCCTCTACCATGTGTTTCTGGACTCAAACTCAGGTCATTAGACATGTACACCAAGCACTTCTACCCACAGAGCCATCTCTGGCCTCTTACCTTTTGTTACCACTTTTTAAAAACCATAACTTTTTTACCTTTTTAGTTTTCCAACCTTACATTTTGTTACCACTTTTATTTTATTGCATGTTTATTTGATTGTTGAGATTGATAATTTTCAAATATTATCTTATATAGTTTTAATAGTTTATAAACTATCTTGGTGTCTTCTAAGTAGTCAGTTCTGATTTGAGTTTTACTTAATTTCCCATGTCACCCTACCTGATATGCTGAGAAGCCACAGTTTCAAAGATGAGCTTTGACATCATATGATTTTGTCCTGATATGACTTACATGTTTCTTCTGTTGGGATCCGGGATAATGTAAACTTTATCCTATAAAGTTCAGGTCGTTTCACATCTTAGTGTAAAGTGATGAAGTTAAAATGGAGGCCCAGAGAGTCTGCTTTCTCTGGGTCAGAGAGCTGGTGGTGGCATTGCGGACTGCCAGTACCCTCATTTGTGTAATTCTGCATCTAAGCGTTTAAGTTAGACATTCCACTCCTCGGTAGCAGCCTCTCCTCAGTTTTGCCCTTTGGCTCGTGTGTTCCTATTTTGATATGCCGTTCTCTGGGCTCCAGGGCTCTAGGCCTGACACTTGCTCAGCTTGCCTCTTATGACTCATGACTTAAAGCACTGTCTCCACAACAGTCTCCTGAGCTGACCTTTGTCTTTAACAATGCTCCAGATGTTAACCAGTTGATGCATTGAAGCTTCCGTGCGCAAACGCTGGCTCTTCCCCTACTGTGAGGTCTGGGATGATATTAGTCCGTTTTGTATTACTCTCAGGAGGCAGACTAGCTTTATAAGGAAATGAGATTTACTTACCCCATTGTTTGGGGTCTGAAAACCCCCAAAGCATTGTACAGGTCCTGATAAGAGCCCCACAGAGGGCTCACAGGTGGCAGAGTGTGTGTATGAGGAAGTGACATGAAACAGGACACCAGAGAGGTTGAAATTCCTTAAGTCCTTCTGAGGATGGACCCTGATATTCCAGTTTGCCTCATTTTCAAAGTTCTCACCATCATCCAATGCCATGCAAAGGACCAGTCATAACTCATGAGCCTCTGAGGCGTGTGTGTGTGTGTGTGTGTGTGTGTGTAGTGTGTTAGGAGATACAATGTCCTGAAACTTAGCAGTGCAGTACCAGAGTCCCTGCCTCACGCTCTGATGGAGGAAGGTCATTGGCTAATAAAGGCACTGCCCTGGCCCATTTTATTGGTTAGAGGATAGGTGGGAGGAGTAAACAGAACAAAATGCTGGGAGGAAGAGGAAGTGAGCTCAGAGACTCGACCGCTTTCCTCGCGGGAGCAGACGCCTGAGAGAGACGCCATGCCCTGCTCCCGGGATGAAGCTCGGACCCAGGATGGACTAGGCTAGAATCTCCCCGGTAAGCGCACCTTGGGGTGCTACACACAGATGATTAGGAATGGGCTAAATTAATATGTGAGAATTAGCCTAGAAGAGAATGGGCCAAGCAGTGATTAAAAGAATACAGTTTGTGTGTTGTTATTTCGGAGCATAAGCTAGCCATGTGGGCGGCCGGGTGTGGGGGACGCAGCCCTGCCGCCCCATATTACTACAACGCTCTTGTTAGGTCTCCTCACTTGCTGTGTCCTCTCCCGTTCCTCTGAGTGGCCGCTGAGCACTGGCTACTTTGTCAGGTCTTAGCAGAGCGATGCGTCATTGTGTTGAGACCCGGACTCTCCAGAGTCTCTGCAGAGATCCATGGCCGCACCCGTGGTACTTATTTCTCACCTTCTGGAAGCTACCTGTGGTTTTCGTCCCTTTCCCCCTCACCCCAACAGAAACAACATTCACTTGTCTTTGTGCTCCCAATTCCCCCTGCTTTGGGGAACTCACTCTGGTTAATTCAGCTTTCCTTTCTCTGGCTTCTTTCCCCCAGTCTTTCGATAGAACAGTCCACAGAACAGCCTGTTTCCTTTCTATCCTGCTGTAGTTGGGTTCTGATCTTCAATTGAAGCATTTAAAAAACTTTTCTCTTTTCCTAGTCACCTCCGTGTCTTCCTTCAGGACTGAGGGCCTAAGACTACATCTGACTGAGTGTCACTGCTGGTCACCAGAAGTGCCTGGCTTGTCAGGGACAGCTTAGTTAACTCTACATCTTACTGAATAACACTCCTGGTCACTGGAAGTGCCTGGCTTGTTAGGGACAGCTTAGTTAACTCTACATCTTACTGAGCAACACTGCTGGTCACTGGAAGTGCCTGACTTGTCAGGGAGAGCTTGGTGGCCATACCTGCGGGATGCGTTTTAGGTCTGATATTATTTACACTCTAGTGATATTTGAGACTGTTTCTTGCCCTTCTTTCTTTGGCACCATTCTTTCTTGTCTTCTCTCTTTTCTGGCTGTCTTTTAAGCTCATGCCCTTCCATCACTCAGTCATTAGTTACCTGCCTTTCCTCCACTGCCATTTGGCCAGCCAGCCTACCTTCTTTCTCAGAAGATGCTCATCTTCATGGGTTCTCCATGTCCTTGTTTTGCTGTTCTAAGTGTACGCTTCCAAGTCAATAGCTTCCTGGAACTGGATTGGACCATCCAAGTCTGACCTCGGATTTTTTTTTTCAGGATTTCATAGGCTTCCCAGGTTCAGCGTGCCATACTACACACGATAGCCTTCCTGCCAGCACTGTCCTTTCTTGTGAATTTCAGAAAGCCAGATTTTTTTTTTTAAAGGTTTTCCTTTTAGGTCTTGTTACCTGAACTTCCCACACAGCTCTGAAGTCTACTCTGTCTCCACCAACCCCGTTGTCATGGCTTGTCCTGTAGCTTGCTGGTTCATCTTCCTTCTTTGAAACGTATGGCTCTCACTCCTGGACTATGCACTCCCTGTGATCTTTCTAAACGCATGCACTGTGCCTTCAGCCCAAAGTCCCAAACCCTGTAGTGTCATTACAAGATGCTCATGATTGGGCCCCACAACCTTTTTAACCCTTGCTTTCTGCACCAAATTTGTATTCTCCACATAGCTATTGCTGGAATGTGCCATGAGTTAGTGCCCATGTTCTTGTGTTCTCTACACGTATATGTGTGTTTCTCTACTTCTATCCTTCCTTCGCTTTTTCCTGTTGTCGTCTCTCCAGTTAAAAATATCCATTCATCTACTCATGCATTATTTCATCCATTGATCCATCCATCTGCCCATCTGCCCAGCTGTCCATTTATCTGTCTTCTCTGTCTCTTTACTGATCCAGCCACCCAAATATTTACCCACCCTCCTGTCCATCTGTCCATTCATACACCCACCCATCTGTCTGCTTTACCACCACCCACCTACCCTTCTGCCCATCCATACATCCTTTGCACCCATCCTTCTGTCTGTCTATCCACCCACGTACCCATGTACCCACCCGCCTACATATCCACCCATCTGTCTATCTATCCATCAATTTATCCATTCATCTACTGATCCTCCAATTACTAAGTACTTTTTATATTTGAGGACCAATGTTCTTCTTACATGATCAGTCCTGATCATATCTCTACCTCCAGATAAACCAAGCATCTCCACTAATTGTATGGTCTCTTCGACTTCTCTTAGTACTTCTCAGAACCTATCCTGTCTTCTGCCTGCACTCAGGTACCTTCTGTGCTGGTGAGCTCTTCCGGAGAAGAACCTTGTGTTTGCTCTCACAAACAGAACCTGACAACAGGCACAGAGCTATTTGCTAAGGGAGGAGTTTTAGTGCTTGAACCCTGTCCTAGGAGGGAGCAAAGGTCCTTAGTAAGAAGTCCCATTGTTCTCCCCCTCCAGAGGGGTGCTTCTAATCTGAGTCTAAGGTTTGAACCTACATCAGGAAGAGACACAATTGCCAGCCAGGCTCCGTGTAGATTGCTACATTTGTAGACCATCTTTTTCAATTTCCTCTTCTATCATGCAGAAATAGAGGTGGAAGAACACCGCAGCAGTCTGTACAGGCAAGTGACCCCTGGCCATGTGAAGTGAATCTTTGGTCCAGGTTTTGCTTTTGCTATAGCTCACTTTGTTTATTTACTTATTTTTGAGGAAGGTGAATGGTGGGGAGGTGACAGAAGTTCTGGAATCATGGAAGAGAGGGATTTTATTTCTTTTCCTTTTTCCTTTTTTTCCCCCTCTAGACAGGATTTCTCTGTAGCTTTAGAGTCTGTCCTGGAATTTGTTCTGTAGAGCAGGTTGGCCTCAAACTCACAGAGATCCACCTGCCTCTGCCTCCCTAGTGCTGGGATTAAAGGCATGTGTCACCACCGCCTGACCAGGAGAGGGATTCTAGAACAGAAGACATCCAGTTGGCACTCGAGTTTGGAGAGCCATGTTTTTGAGCTGAGTGTTTTGAGATTGCTATGAGGGGAACTGTAAACCCATAGTAGAAGCTATTAAAACGAGATGATATTACAAAGATGAGTTGACTTTCAGTATCAAATAATAAAAGGTGGGGAAGTAGGCTTAGGACTCTTAAGACAAGTAAGGAGGGAAATAAAAGAAATACTGGGTGCACAGCATGGCTGATTCATGTGACTGTGCAGAAAGGAATGGGGTGGACCCTGCATGTAATGGATCTGTGTTCTCTAACAGTCAGAAGATGCATGGTATGAAAGTAGATGGCGAAAGGAAATTGTTACAATCATATTTGCTGGGACTGTCCAGCCATTTGATGGGAACTCACTCACTGCTTCTGAGGACTCCTCCCAATGGTGGCGGACATACGATGCTTGACATGGGGTAGCTTGCCTGTGGGTGCCCCTCCTCAGATGATCAGAATATCAACAGTTAATAAGTCTTTGAACAGTTAGTGTTGAGTATACCCAGGGCCAAGGACCGAGAATCCTTGTGTAGATAAGGGGACAGGTAGCTCACATCTGTCCTTAGCTTAGACTCCAGGTCTCCCCAGAGGGAGCACTGACCACCAAAGTTCAAGAACCAGCTTCATCTATGTCTCTGGCTTGAACTTCCTTTTCCAAGAGGGATTCCTGTAGAACTCAATGAAAATAATCCACAGGGTCAAGAGAATGGTCCTCCACCCATCCGCAAGGATCGAGGTCCAGTTTCCTCTTGGCTTTAACTGGGGACCTGTGGACCACACAGTTTGTTAGCAGACTATTTCATGGGCTGTGTTGTAATGATCTGTTGTTTTCTTTTCAGAAGGTAAGAGCAGCGTCTGCTGGAGCACTACCCAAAAGGAGGAATTCCAAGTTATTTTTAGGTAAAACAGTTACCAATCATGTGCATGCTATATTCTGTCTTTCTGTCTTGTTTCTAGGGGCAGGGATGGGGATGCCTGGTTAAACACTGTCTCTATTTGCCATTTCCCCAGCAGAGAAGAGTGCTTAGAGTACGGATTCAGATCCTAGGCATTAAAGCAGTTTTGGCAGCTAGAGAGGAATTATAGTCCGCTTTTGGTTGCTTTCTGTGTGCCTCCTGTCTGTGTCTCTCTGTGTCTTCTTCTGTCTCTCACTATTTCTGTCTCTGTGTTACCCTCTCCTCATCCTGTTCCATGTAGTTCAGTGGTTGAGTCTGTTACTCTCTACCTTATTTTTGGGGACAGGGTCTCTCATTGAACCTGGAGCGCAGCAATTCAGTTAGACTGACTGTCAACTAGCCCCAGGACCCCTCATGTCTCTGCCTCCCACACAGGGATTATAACACCTATATCTACACACAATAAAACACACACACTGGGACACCCCAGAGGTATTAGCTATGGCGTTGGCCTACTAATTTTTAGCACCCATTATTAGTTCTGGCCTGCAACAATGATTGTTTGATATTCTTCATTAAGAAGAACTAGTCTTGCTTATGCAAACGATCACTGATTTCTAAATCACATCACTAGCCTAAGATTTGTAAAAACATCTGAACACACTATTGTATACATGTGGATAAGTGTATGCATGCATGCATGCCTCTATATTTGTGTATGTATATATATATACATATATATATGTATATATGTGTGTATGTATGTGCACTTATGTGGATGTAGGCACATGTGTGTAACACACACACGTGCACATATTTGACTGAAACCTGGCAGTGTCTAGGAGAACATACTACAGATTGCTAACAGTAGTAGCTCTTTTCTTAGGCTAAGAAAGGGCCTGATTCTGGTTTTCTTTTTGCTTATCCTTATTTAAATCTTTTGTTTGTTGAAGCCATAGTCTTGCTCCGTGGCCCAGGCTGGCCTGGAATTTCTCCGCTCTGCGTAGGGGATCTTCCTGTCTCCGCCTCTTTAAGTAGTGGGACCACTGTGCGCATCACCACATCCCGATAGCTTTTTTCTGCCACTGTAATGAAAAGAGACTGAGAGATGGGGGTGGCTCAGTTGGTCCTGTGGCCTGCCGTGCATATATGAGAGCTTGAGTTTGGATCCTCAGCAACCACAACTGCATAAATATCAGGTGTGGTAGCACATGCATGCAGGGAGCGCAGAGAGGGTGGCTAATCCCTGGAGCACATTGTCCAGCCAGCCTAGCTGAACTAAGAAGACCCTGTCCACCCCCTTCCCCCGCCTCCCCAAATAAGGTTGAGAGTGATCAAGAAAGACACTCCATGTCAATCCCTGGCTTTCACCTTACATGTGAAAACATGTATGTTCACACACATGTGTGAATGTACAAACACATTGACATACAATCACCACACACACAAAGAACAGACACGTGAACTCTTTGAGAAGGGAAGCCATTGAAGCATCCGTGAAACTAGCTGTGCTTCTACGCTTGGTCCTCAGCACTGTGTGCCACCCAGGGTGTCTTCCCTCTAGCTCCCCAGCTGTGGTTTTCTTCAGAAGAATTACCTCAAGATTCTTGGGAGTAGCTTTGCTTCACTGGCGACCTTCTCATTGGCTCAGCTCACCCTGTGCCTCAGCCCCACCTACCAATCAGACAGACGAAGCCACCGGAGAATAGCCTAGAATGAGCTTCGTGGCTGAAAGGGTCAGGCACGTGGCCGTGCTTGAGTGATTGGTCTCCCAAGCACCTGCGCTGTTATCTAGAAAGTGATTTTTTTGTGAGTTAAACGACCTCAGCAATGGATGTAGAAATTATTGAACAATTCGACCCTGTTGTTACTGTAGTTTCAGTTTCTTGAGACTCTCAAACTCACCATAGTAGAGGCTGGCCATGAACTTCCTCTTCTACCATCTCCTTCACCTAAGTGTTAGTTACTGGTGTGTGCCACCGGGGCCAGCTTTTTACATGCAAACAAAACATTTTCTTGCTTCCATGAAGGAGTTAGCTGACTTCTTTGCTTTCAACGATGGTGTTGTAAGATTCTGAGGTTTTATTTTTCCAGCGATTGTTTTGATTGCCAAGGTTGTTGTCAAGGACCAGTTTTAGAAATGAAGGGGAAGGCAGCCTCGGAGGCCTTGCTGCTGCCTACAGCTGCGTTTCAGTGGGGCCTTTGCTCCAAGCCGTGTCTGCGCTTCCTCAGCAGTCCAACATCTCAGGAAACGGAAGGCTTCTCCACAGCTCACAGAGCACTGGATGGTTCCGTTCTTGTGCGGACCCAATAGAAACATTCACAGCAGCTGCCAGTGTGTGATTGCAGTGGCTGTGCCGTGCCCCAAAGATGGCACTTGATAGCTCTTCTGTCTTCTTGCTCTTGTGTTCTTATTGCTTCGTCTTCTGCAGTGTTCCCTGAGCTCTGGTGAATATGGTGTAAATGTCTTGTTTAGGGCTGAGCTGTCCTCTGTATTTTCAGTACTATGTGTAGCCATGAATCTCTGCGTCTCCACCATTCACCGAGAGTAGCCTTTGTCTATGGGTCTACACACATGTATTTAGTAGTCAGCTTGTCTGTGTCAGGTTAGCTAAACAATCATATTCAGCTCCCCTGTATGGCCTATGAAATCATTGAACAATTCGATGTTCATTACACACACACACACACACACACATTTTTAAGCCAACTTTATAGGCTCAGGCAAGGAGTCCCTCCTGTGGAATAGTCCTCCAAGACAATCAGGTAGTGGTTGGTTACCTGTGTGACAGTAATACCTCTTTTTTGTTTTCGCTTGTTGAGTACAGCATCTTGGCATCCTGAAGCATCTTTAGCAGATGTTGGTGTTCTGTGTAGTATGTGCTGTCAAAGAGGCTTCAGGATACCAATACATGGGGGCTGGGATGAGGGAGGCAAATAATGCCTGTTCCCTTTCTCTGAGCTTAACTGCATGTGAAGTCCCTGTCTTCTCCACACTCAGGAGACGTCGACGAGCCCTACATGACACCATGATCTTTCTGAAGCTATGTCAGCTTTGCTTCAGAGTCAGACCGCCCTGGGGTGTGTGTGTGCGGAGGCTCCTCATGTTATTTGTTAGGGATTTAGAGAAGATGTTGAGCAGCATTGAGGTGTAGGAAGTCACCTATGGCCTCTAGAGCATCGTAGATCTGACCTGGGCTTCCTGAAGACCTCGTTCCGTAGAATCTACTTAACGGTCCAGGAGGTAACTCGCCCAGAGTTAGACGCTTAGTAAATATGCTAGCAGGCTTTTTTTCTTCACTGTATTTATTCAGGTCAGATAATATTTGAAGTAGCATTAAGTGAATGTGTTCTCTATAGGAAAGAAATAGATAATACCTGTGTGTATGAAGTTTATTCACAAAAGCCTGAGATTTATTCTCTGTTCCTTAAAGCTGCTGCGTGTATAATATGTTAATAGTAAAGCAGCTTGGAGTGGAACAGCTCATCTGAAACCTTTGCTTCCTGCAAACTTCCTTGGTTTGCAGTGTTTGCGCATGGGAATGATGCAAAGCTGCCTTTGCCTTGAGAGTCCCCTGCTATTTGTTTTCATTGTGATGCAGAATACATGTTTCCCTACCTCTGCTATACTACTGAACTATGTTTCTGATTGAACATTTTCATTCTGATTTTTTGTTATAGATGGTAGAGCCTCAATCATTCATGACACAGTGTCTTAGTGATGGTTTCTATTGCTGTCAATAGGCACCATGACCACAGCAACTCTTACAAAGGAAAACATTTCATTGGGTGGCTACAGTTCAGAGGTTTATTCCATTATTGTCACGGTAGGACATGGTGGCATATAAGCAGACGTGGTGCTGGAGAAGGAGCTGAGAGTTCTATATCTTGATATGCAGGCAACAGGAAGTGAGACATTGGGAATGGCTTGAGCATATATGAGACTTCAAAGCCCTGCTCCACAGTGACTCACTTCCTCCAACAAGGCCATACCCAGTCCAACGAGGACAGATCCTGATAGTACCACTCCCTTTGGGGGCATTTTCTTTCAAACCCCCAAAGATAGGCTACAGTCAGAGGAAGGCACACTATTTTTTTTTTAAATGTGTATGAAACAAAGGAATTTTGTGTTTTATCTTAGGTCCCAACATTTGCAAATATTTAAAAAGAAAGAGAAAACAAAAGAATCTGGAATATTGTACACTTCTGGTCTCTTTTGTTTGAATTATTCCCCTTAAGTTTCTTGCGTTGTTTCCTAAACTGCCTGTCTCCTCTAGGACCGCCTTGTTAAGATAGTAATCTGTCACGTTGCAGTCATTATTTTGGTGTTTCTGAATCTTAGGATTTAGAGTCTTTTATTATGTTTGGGTTATGCTTTGCTGTGTCTTACGTTTTACTTAAAAGGGCCCTGCATTTGAGAGTGGAAAGCAGAGTTACACATGCAAGTAGGGCAAGGCTTCATGAAAGGTAGCGATCAGGTTTAGATCCTTGGTTCCCAGGTGCCTGCTGTCACCCAGTCATTCTCTTCTGGCCACTGAGTCTGTCTGTGTGACTCTGCGTGTGAATGGAACATCACTTGACTTTTTTGTCACCATAGTCCCAAACATATAAACACAAACATGACCTGGGCCGCTGACATCCCTGTGAGAACAAGGCTGCGCTGTCCATGTAAATATTATGACCAAACATCTCCTTGGGCTGTCATCTAACCTTTACCAGCGAGGAGCCAAGCACAGAGGGTGGCCTGGCAGAGGGTTGGCCAGAAGCCTGTTGTATTTACAGAGAATTCGCTAGGCCCTAGGACAACAGGACTGCTCACGTAATGGGTTCCTTCTGTCTTTCGAGATTTCAACCACTATTTGAGGTGGGAGAACAGAGAGAAGGAGAGGCATTGAGGGAGATGGGGTGGATTCCTAAACAACAGCCACTGCTTACTGGAGACCTGCCTTGCGCTGGGTCTCTTCTCTGCCACGTCTCATTTCTCTCTTGTGTAAGAGGAGTGCTTTCCCTTTCCACGCTGAACATAATGGAAGTGCAAAGGTTAGAGTCTGTGACTTGCTTAAAGTTACAGTAAATGTGGACAGCATCAAAGCCAGCTTCACCACTCTCAATGTCCTTCTGGACACGGGAAATGGCTCAGTTAATAAAGGGCTTGCTCTGCAAGCCCGGGGACCCGGATTGGTCCCCAGACCCTGCCATCCCCATGGGTGTGGTGATAAATGCTTGTAATCCCGGCACTGGGAAGGCCAAAACAGGCAGATTTCTAGGACTCACTAGTCAGCTGATCTCGCTGAATCAGTGAGGTTCATGCTAGTGAGAGACCTCTCTCAAAATACAAGATGGATGACTCCTGAGAAATGATACCTGAGGTTGACCTTTGCCTTCACACACACACACACACACACACACACACACGCACACACACACACTGAGAGAGAGAGAAAGAGAGAGACAGACGCACACAGGCATGTGCACATACATAATTTGTTTCCTTTGTTCTGCTGAAATTATGGCCCTAAACTCTTAGTGGAAACATCTGTTTCTTTAAAGCCTATAATTCTGTTTTTAGCGTGTATGCCCATTCTGTGAGGCTTTATGATGTGACCCAGTCGTTGATGAACAAATATGCACCTTTTAGGAAAGATGGCAGGGTCTGTGTCTTCTGGTGTGGGGCAGCAGGATGGTCCTTTCTGTCAGGGTCGGATCCTGTGTGTTAAGCCTGTGGATTCCCTGTGAGGGTCGCACTGGTTCGGACCTCCCTTTCCTCACTTCTTTTCTTTGTTTTTATTCTCTCCTCAGATCTGGATACGGATGATGATTTAAATAGTGACGATTATGAATATGAAGATGAAGCCAAACTTGTTATATTTCCAGACCACTATGAAATAGCCCTTCCAAACATCGAGGAGTTGCCAGCCCTGGTCAGTGAGCATACACATGGCTGTGTGTTGTGTTGTATGTGTGTGTGTGTGTGTGTGTGTGTGTACACGTGGCTGTATTCAGGTGTGTGAGTGTGCACGTGGCTGTATGTCAGGTGTGTGTGTGTGTGTGTGTGTGTGTGTGTACACGTGGCTGTATTCAGGTGTGTGAGTGTGCACGTGGCTGTATGTCAGGTGTGTGTGTGTGTGTGTGTGTACACGTGGCTGTATTCAGGTGTGTGAGTGTGCACGTGGCTGTATGTCAGGTGTGTGTGTGTGTGTGTGTGTGTGTATGTGTGTGGTGGGGTGGGGAAGGCCAGTCCAGAAGAAGAGGATAAAATGGAGCAAAAGTTGGGTGTGGGGGCACATGATTGTGATCCCAGCACTAAGGATGCTGAGGCAAGAGAATTGTGAGATTAAGGCTAGCCTGTGCTAAATAGTTCAAGGCCACTCAGGACCTCATAATGAAACCTGTCTCAAAAAACAAAGCAAAATAGAACTCCCAAATAAATAAATAAAAACAGTGTGAACAGGAGCATCTGTCTCCTCTGAGGTCTCACAGAGTGGCCTTTCCTTATTGCTGCCCGACTCCCATCTCTGCTGGGTTTTCTTTGCCCATGGCTGGGCTCCTCTAGGCTGGGCTGGCTCGTGTGTCTTTGCTGGGATTGTCAAAGACTGCACCTCACAGCTGCTGGGACAGCTGGAGAGGGACTGTTTTGGTTGGAGGGATGGCGGTGTGTTTGTCAGGTTCTCACACTGCCTTTCCGTGTAAGATTTTGTTTGAAGACTGGAAGAGTTTGTCTGCTGGGACAGCGGCAGCAGCACAGTTATAAAAAGAACCAACTGCTCTCACATCCCGGCCTGGGGAGCATCGGGGAGACACACTCACCTCAGCTTTGCTCCTCCGAGAACCAAGATGACTCTTTTAGATTTTTGGTAGTGAGCTCACCCTACCCCCTCTCCCTTCCCTTTTCTTGCATCTTCTTGGAGTCAGTTTCAGGGAAAGGTCTTGCTTTTCCTGGAGAAACCGGATGCTGGGCTGGTGGCGGGGTGGGGAAGCTGCCTATTGCATTTGATTCTAGAGTCCTCAGAGAGGTCACAGGACTGCTGCGGCCCATGATGTCCCTCTTGCTTATCCCTCGCTTCCTGTGTGGCTTCCAACACTCTGTTCCCCTTCTGAACAAATACCTCTGTTTCCTATAGCCTGGTCCCAGAGGGCAGTGGAGCAAGGTGGGTTAATTTAGACATGCTAGTTCATTTTGCCCTCTTCAGACTCCGCTAGAACCAAAGCCAGGCCTGGGGGTCCCAGAACCTTCTGACGGACCCTAACCAGCAAGAACTATCTACTCAGTTGCTCCTGCCCAAAGGGGATGTTTGTGCTTAGCGTTTCCGTGTTCAGAGGGACTAGGTTTCTCACATAACCTATTTTCTTCTGATCTATCACATAGCTAAATTTAAGACCATAGAAGTCAGAGCACCATGCATCTGTCGGCTGCAGCCCTCCCACTTACTAAATGTAAGGCATCCTTTTCCATATGAGGTGTTCAGTGAGGCTTGTGGAAATGAAATTACTGTTGCTTTCTCGGATTTCCCGTGTTGACTCATATGGCTGTTACCAGGAATAAAATACATTAGTGGATAAAATGGTCTTAACCTGAAGTGCACCAACGCTTGCGTCTCTAAGGCTGAGAGCGCTTTTATTTTTATTTTATGTGCATTGGTGTTTTGCCTGCATGTATGTATGAGGGTGTCAGATTCCCTGGAACTGGAGTTAAATAGTTGTGAGCTGGCATGTGCGTGCTGGGGATTGAACTGGAGTCCTTAGCCCTGAGCCATCTCTCCAGCTTCAACGCTGAGAGTTCTTATTGCTCCAGTTCAATATAATCCTGGTTTTACTACGGGAAGGGAAGCAAAGAAGCATATTGTGATTATGTGAAGGTTTCTGTGTGAAAAATGTAAATATGAAGAAAAAGCCTCAAACCAGGCCCAGTGAGTCATGCTTGTAATCCAGCACTGGGGAGCTGAAACAGGAGGATGGCTAGAAGTTCAGTGCTGCAGAGTAAGATCCTGTCACAAACAAGCAACAAAAACCAAACCAAAATAAAACAAAAAACCCCACCAAACCAAACCAAAACTCAAAAGACAAACAAAGACCTGTTCCCTATACGCTACTGTTGAAACATTCTTTTATTCAGAGAGTAAGCTCAAAGATGTAAGGACATGCCCTACAAATCCCAAGCCAGCAAGATCCATCAAAATCTTTAATAACAGTCTATGAGGATACTTTAAAATGAAAATTTGAATAAAATGTCTTTTTAAGAAACGGTTTCAAAAATGAAAAACGAAAGAACTCTGGAATCGAGCTGCTTGAGAAGAAACCTCAATCCTAGTTTGCAACCCTGGTACTTAGTAGTCGTGGGCTTTAGCTACACCCAAGGGTTTAGTCAGTTCTTGTTTACGTGCAGTTACTACATTTTTAGTGTTTGAGGACTTTCTTTTGAACTTTTAAATAAAAAGAAAATGCTTAGTCTAAAAAGAGTGTTCAAGGTCTCTGGGTGTCTCACCACAGGGCATTCTGAGTTACCCCGAGTCCCATCAGAGAGGCAGACGACCTCTGAGTGGACGGGCTCACAGGGGGGACCCCAGAGCCTGGCATCTGGAGCTCCGATAGTGGGGTGTTTGTCCTGCTCAACAGCTCTGGGTGGAGCAGGCTGCCCCAAGCTTGCTGATTGCCACAGTAGACCCCATCATAGCTGACTCCAGCCCAACCATGAGGTCCCTGGGTGTGCTGGAAGAAAGACTACTGTTTGGAATTTGCCACACTCAGCTAACACAGATGTCAGAACATCAGGAGCGTAGACAGAGGTGACCGAAAGTAACAGTCAAGCAACGAGGAAGGACCGGAGCTTTAATACATGGCCTCTCAAGGGTAATTATTGTGAGGTAATTGATTTTAAGAATGATTGTGTTTAAAAAGAAAAGAATGATTGTGTTTAGCAGGTGTCTAGCAGAATTTCTTAATTTTGCCTTTCCTTTCCTAATTACTTGATATATAAAAACATAATCTTAGGGCTAGGGTGTGGCTCGCTAGCAGAGTGTTAATCACACTGTGCAATGGCCTTTTGTTTTGTTCTGCTCTGAGACAGGCCCATGCCCCATAGCCTAGGCTGTGTGCCATCTCAGTCCTCATGACTCCTGGGTTGCGTTCTGGGATTCGGATCTATCCTCTCCAACACGTAACATCTTTCTGGTGAATGCATTCAGAATCCTTTGTTGTGTGTGAAAATGCGCTGTGTTTGGGTACCCAGAGTTCCCTTACATAGCCAACCTTCATCTCTCTGGCTCGATCCCCTCCCTAGCTTGAGGTAACCACCAGACTACTAAACTTAATGGGACTAACTTTGTAATGTTCCACACGTGAGTGAGAACACGTGGTACCTGTCTTTCTGTGCCTGGCTGATTACACTCAACATAATGGTCTTCAGTTTTATCTGTGATGTTGCAAATGGTGGGATCTCACTAACTGTCCTCGATACACGGCGTTCCGTTGTGTGTAGGCATCACACTGTCCCCATCCAGCAGTTGATGACACTTAGTGTGTCCTCTTTTCTTGCCTGTAGTGACCAGCACTGTGACAAATATAGGGATGATGCTGAATTTCTTAAAATTGAACAACCAATTTTCCGGGGCTGGTTTGAGCCAGTTCCAGGGAAACACTGGATTTGAGGCCTCTGAGAGTAGAGGTGGAGTCCAGGTCTCCTCACTTCAATCCAGCATCAACTCAAGTGAAACAAATTTGGTGTAGGTATAGGATCATCAGCCTGACCTCAGCCATGACCCGTGAAAACGGTGATTTTGGAAGACGCTAGGCCGGAGTTTTATGTCAGCCCCAGGGGCCTGAGGAAATTTTGTTGGCTGTCGCCTGAAAAGAAACTCAAAGAAAAGAAGTTTTATATCTGACTCCTGAATGTCAAAACCCCAGTCAGTGATGTGTGTGTGGTGTGTGGAGGAAGTGCCTAGCGGGGTGGAGCATGACCCAGGCAGCTGCTGGGAATGGGAAGCTGCATTGAGGATATTGGCTGCCCGGGTGCGGTGCTAAGGCTGTCAGGTCCAGGCGTGGACTCTGCCAGGTGGTGGGAGATGCACTGTGTTGACTGACAGCATAGCTCACTGTAGGGTGTATACGTGACGGATGAGTAGGGGTGCCCATGTTGAAGGTCTAACTATCCACGCATGCCTGTGCTCACAGGACTAAGCTTTCTGGGGCCCCAAAGAATATGATTGGCTTTTTTCACGCTGCATACGTTTTCCAGATTTATTCATACTGCACCATATATTGGAGTCCTGTTTCTTTCTATTACCAAATAAAATTCCATTTTGGTTTTTATTCTATTGATCGTTGCTAGGCATTTGGGCAGCTTTCGTTTTGTAACCAAAACAGCTTTGTAACAGCTCTGTCTTACTCCGTCCTCTTGTAACTACATTTTCCTGTCCCTTGGATGTATCTCTAGCTGTTTATCTGCTGCGTCCTGCAGCCACTGTTTGATCATTGGAAGAACGCCTGGACTGTTTTCAAAGTGGCTGTGCTGTGACTTTGCAGCAGAATTTACGTTTTACACGAGCTAGGGATTAGCTTGCAGCCTTAGACGCGCGCATTGAGAGAAAGCAGAGGGCACCCAGCGGGCGCCACACATCTGCTTGTGAGTGGACCCATGTAGCACAGAGACACCCACGCATGTCCTCTGCCCGCCTCATGTCTGTGTCAGACTAAGAAGAGCTGGACTGTGTCCGTTCCATTCAAAGTGCCCTTGACCCCGTGCCGCGTGAGTTGAGGATATTGGATATCTTGGTACATTAGGAGGAAACACAGCCCTTGGGCAGATTCTGGGCATTCCTGTTCATAACTTGCTCCCTCACCCTTTCACCCCACTTGCTAAGTGATAGGGATGATTCCGTGTGAATGCTAAGCTTGAGCTGATGAGTGGAATCTTCTTCTGTGTTCTCATGTCATCGGCAGTACCCCGAGCTCCATGCCTGGGTCAAACCTAGGTAGACTGGGGGAAATGGACCTTACTGTGGTGATTGAATTTCCGCAGTGAGGCTGCTGTATTTTTAAATAAGCTTCTGCGTTTGCTTCTGGAAGCTGAGTTTTCAGTACCTGACTTTGTCTCCTAGGTAACTATCGCTTGTGATGCAGTGCTCAGCTCAAAGTCGCCGTACAGGAAGCAGGACCCCGACACGTGGGAAAATGAACTGCCGGTATCGAAGTACGCCAACAACCTCGCCCAGCTGGACAACGGGGTCAGGGTTCCTCCCAGGTGAGAGTCTGCCAGGGAAATGGAACTTTAGCCTCCCCCAAAACTGGTCGAAGCAACTTCTGATTTTCTACCTTTTCTCTGAATTAGCAGTATTATATTTTCATAGCAGATGCCTTTTAAAACAAGTCCAATAAAAACCAGAAATTGTTAATAGAAACAAATCAGGCTCTGAAAGACAAAATCCATTTTTCTCTCATATATGTACTTAGATTTAAAGCTGTTTAAGTGTTTACACACATACACGCATGCACATTTATGTTGTGTATGTACAGATCATGAAACTTGGAAGGGGATCATGATGACAGGAAGAGGTCTTAAGTGATAGAGTAAACGAGGACAATGGGACACATATGATATGAAAACAGAGGGGGAGAAGTGTGGGCATGGGGGTCTGTGGAGGAAGACTTGTTAGAGCTAACTATGATGACCCACATGCATGGAATGTCCTAATGAGACCCACCATTTTGTATGCTAACTTTAACAATCATTCTACAAAAGAAAGAAGAAAGAACACAACATAGATTAAAAACTTCCTCCTGGACATGCCTGGACCTTTGCAGCCGGTGTCAGGCTCTCAGGCCTAAGCCTAAGCCCAGGCTCTGTCCTGCAGCGAGGCTGGTGCTTGCACACACATGCAGCTCTGCACAGGGACCTTGCGCTCGGCAACACCGCCTCCGCAGTGTGTGAGATGGTCGGACATTCCATTTGAAGCCGTTGTCCTCTGGGACCTCACGCTGGCGGTAGAGGGGTGGATCAATACTCAGTCTCCTGCTGCCTTGGGGAAGACTTATCCCCTGCAGTTTCTCATCAGGCTCCAAGTCTTTGTGGTGGTCACTTGGTGACAAATCTTTTGCTGGCTTCTCCCCTTTCTTACTTTTCTTCCCCATTCTGCTGGGATCAGCTGCACACATCCAGATCTGTGTGTCAGAGTTCATATTAGGTGATCTGACTTGAAACAATGCTAGGTTGTCTCCAGTAGGCAGTAGGCCAAATGCTCTTTGGGATGCAGGAACATCCCTGAAGGCAGATCTCCGAGGGAGAGAGCAGATGGTGCTTAGGAGATGTCCAGTTTCAGTGACCTGTGACCACACTGCTGTCTGTTGTAGTTTTGGAGAACTCACATCACTTCTGGGCCTCATTTTCTCTCTCTGTAGAAAGAAGGATTGTGACACTAACCCTGAGCAGAATTTTCTAGAATTAGATGGACTTTCTGCTAGCTATATGACCCATAACTGACATTTAGCATTCAGTTTGGGCCACTTACTTTCTTAATTTAGAATTGGAATAGGTATGTCAGTCATCTTTTATAGCAAATGCCTGAGCTAGGTCAGCCGTTAATGGAGGAGCGTTGGCCTTCGCTCGTGGTTTTGGAGGCATCACTCATGGTTAGCTGGCCCATGGCATCACTCGTGGTTGCTTTTGGTCAGTGATGATACAGGTACTGTGGGGAACCTGTGGTGGTACGGGCTGTTTAGCTCACGGTGGGCTGAAAGGAGAGAGAAGAGGGGTCCTGAGCTCTAATGTTTGGATGAAAGGAGAGAGAAGAGGGGTCCTGAGCTTTAATGTTCCCTTTGAAAGTATTTCCCAATGCGTGCTGAAGAGGTGGCTCAGCGGTTAAGAGCACTTGCTGCTCTTGTAGAGGGCCCAGGTTTGGTTCCCAGAACCCACATGGAAACTCAACACTGTCTATAACTCCAGTTCTAGGGGATCCTGTGCCTTCTTCTGTCTTCCACTGGCACCACGCACATACACAGTGCACTTGCATACATGCAGGCAAAGCACTAGTACACATAACATAGTAAAAGTAAATAAAACTTAAAAATAAAAAGTACACTCAATAAATCCAAAACTTTCTCTTCAGCAATACTTCTTTAAAAAGTCTTATCAAGGTATACTAATTATACATAATAATGCTTATTTTATTAATAACCAACAATAATTTAATGTTTATTTTAATGATGTTTAATTTTTAATACGTAATAAGGTTTCATGTTTCATTATTGTTTTAGTTAGTTCTTTTTCTGTGGTAAAACACCATGACCAAAAGTGACTTGTGGAAGAAAGGGTTTATTTCAGCTTATCCTTCCAGTTAACTGTTCACTGAGGAAAGTCAGGGCAGGAACCCAAGCAAGGCTGTAACCTGGATGCAGGAAGGGAGCAGAGACCATGGGGGATGCTGCTTACTGGCTTGCTCCTCAAGTCTTGCCCAGCTTCCTTTCTTATACACTCCAGGACCAGGGATGGTACCACCTGCAGTGAGTTAGGCCCTCCCACACCAGTCATCAATCAAGAAAACACCTTCCATGTTTGCCTGCAGACCAATCTATGGAAGCATTTTTTAACTGAAGTTTTCTCTTCCAATAAAACTGTGTCAGTTGACATAAAGACTAGCCACATGGTTATGATGTCTTCATACATGTGTGTAACACATGTGTGTAACTGGTTTGCTCGTGTTCACTCCTGTATCTCTCTCCCACCCTCCTACCATTCCTGCGGATCCCCCTCCTCTTCTAGACCAGTCCCTTCTGCTTTAATGCCTTCTCTTTTGGGACTCCATGAGTTTAATTAGGGCTGTTTAGAGGAGCATGGGTGAAGGGTTATTTATGGGAGCAAGGGAACCTCACCAATGAGTACGCCACTGAAGAAAATGGCTTTCTCTTCCCGAGCTACCAATAATTGCTTATAAGTTCTCAGGGAGGGGCAGGCCTCATAAATACCTTTCTATGAATGAGGGCCCAATCTGGTCACAGCCACTGTGACTTCAAAAGTGCATTGGCTGTGTCATGCCCAGTGGACCGTGTCCCACAGTGCTGCACCTCTCATCTTTCTGCAGTTTCGGAGCCATAGAGGAGGTGAGGTAGACGTCCCAGGTATGGTTGAGCATCCAACAGTCCCTCGTTTTCAGCATGTGGACTGGTTTTAGTCTCCGTAGTCCCTGCTGCTCACTGCAACGAGAAGCCTCTTTGACCAGAGCTGACCATACCGATATCCCCAGACATAAATACCTAGACAGGTGTTACACAAGTACATTATGTTCACTCCCAAACTATGCTGGCTTCATAATACCACAATGAGGACTGTGCCTTTAATGTATACATCTTCCTGGGATAGGCCCAAGTTGGACTATTGCATAGTTTTAACCCACATCGATTTGACCATGTATGGGTAATGCTTTGGAAATGTCTTGCACGTGGGATCCTCCATGTTTGTACCCTGTTCAGGAGCCACTGTCCTGCAAGTGTCAGTTTGGAGGACATGGCCTCTTTCTTGCCTTTGTAAAATGTGCCAGTTTTCTAAAGAGCCATGTTGGAGGTACTGATAGTCTCTGGTCCAGTCTGGGAGGCAGGCAAGGCGCTGGAGGGATGGTCCCTTGCTCTGGATGGGGAGCAGTAATATCCTGGGGTGAGAATCCAGGGAAGTGCTGCCAGTAGGAAGTGCTGTTCATCTTTAGCATGTCAATGTTTTCTTGATGTGCTAGCTCTTCTGACTGTTCGCTCTCATGACTTTCCAGCGGCTGGAAGTGTGCCCGATGCGACCTGCGGGAAAATCTCTGGCTGAATTTGACTGATGGCTCTGTTCTGTGTGGGAAGTGGTTTTTCGACAGCGCAGGGGGCAATGGCCACGCACTGGAACATTTCAGAGACATGGGCTATCCTTTGGCCGTGAAGCTGGGCACCATCACACCTGATGGGGCAGGTGAGTGTGACTTTGCATGACTGGTGTCTCGCATTAATCAGCCCAGGCCTGAGACCCGGGTTTTGCCTCTCATTAATTGTGGTATGAACACTTGAGATTCCTTATCCTGGGGACATTGATGGAGCTTCTCTTGTGTTTATTCATCAGCTTAAAACATTTAACCCAGTGACACGCAGGAAGATGTGAGTAACATTAGCTGCTATTGTTTATCTCATGGCTAAGGAGACCCAAACAGGAAATAGATCTACGAAGAGGATGTGCATAGCGACTCCTTTATTAAGATGGCAGGAGGCAACCCTAGAATTCATTGTGGACATTATTAATACCATTTAGGGAAAAACGACATTATGAGAAACCAGTGGGGTTGGAGAGGTACCTGGCTCAGTGGTAAAGATGCTGCTACCAAGCCTGACAGCTTGATTACAGAACAGTTTGATTCCCGGGGCTCACATGGTGGAAGGAGAGACAATTCTCACATGTTGTTCTCTGATCTCCATATGTTTTCTGTGCCACACAAGTGCGTGTGTGTGTGTGCACATGAACGCATGTGTACACACACACAAACTAGTTATAATAGATAATACATAGGTGTAGAAGGAGCTGTGGGTGGTGTGGCTAGCTTTACCCAAAATAATTACATGGAAACTGTATTCATTTAAACACTGCTTGGCCCATTAGTTTCAGCCTCTTATTGGCTAATTCTCACAACTTGATTAACCCATTTCTAATAATCTGTGTAGCACCACGAGGTGGTGGCTTACCGGGAATAATCTTAACCCGCGTCCATCTTGGAGAAGAGAGCTATAGCGTCTGCCTCACTGCCTTCTTCCTCCCAGCATTCTGTTCTGTCTTCCCCACCTACCTATGTTCTGACCTATCAGGCCAAGAAGTTTTCTTTATTAATTAACCCAATGAAAGCCACAGATAGATTAGAAGACCCACCTACATCAATATAGGTAGGTAGATAGATAGGAAGAAATGTGAAAATAAAACAAACAAACAAAGTTTCCTGTGCTCTGAGCCCCAGCAATGCTGACTCTCCTATCTTCAGAGGGGTCAGCTTCCCACATGCACAGCCAGCTGTGCTTTCTCTCTGCTCTCAAGCCATCTTCTCTAAATGGGTACCTTTGGACCACATCTGTGCACCTCATTCATTCCTCCCGCCATTTTGTGATGGAAAAGGGAAGTAATACCAGGTCAAAACACAACACTGAGCAGTTGTCACGAGGACCTGCCATCTTGTTGTCATGGGAACAGTTTTTGATCTCACATCTAGAGCAGCACCCAGCTCTAGTGTCTCCATCTCTTCAGCTTTGGTGCCTGTTCCTTGTCTGCTTTAAGTTGTGATGATGACCGTAGAAGACTAAAGACGCCCATCTTCTCTCTTTCCTCTTTGTGATGACCTGTGATGGAATTAGCCTGCCTTAGAGTTGATCGGTCAAAGTTTTCCTATTCAGGGTTGGTCTTCAGGTCTCACCATTTCTTTCCTATGAGCTGGCTTAGTTTCCATTCATTTCACGGTTGAGAGCTAGCAGTTAGGTCTTGTTAGGATTCTTTGGTTTCACGTTTTGAAGAATTTTGCTGCTTTCAGATTTCATGGAATTATTATTATTATTATTATTATTATTATTATTATTATTATTATTAGTGTTTTGAGATAGTCTCACTGTATATCTGGATGCCCTCAGACTCACTGTGTAGTTTAGGCTGGCCTCAGATTTGCCATTCTCATCAAGGAATTACTTGAACTCATTAAAGACAAGTGCTTGCAAGGGTGTGAGTTGCAGGTGCGAAACATTTTCCAGCCAAGTGAATGCTCTGTAAACCAAGTCTCATTCTGAGCATTCTGGGATTTAAAGAGGAATTCAGGCTCTGCACTGGAGGTCAGCACTGCAAGGATACTGACAGGTGATGGCCAACACTAACAGTACAGCTTGAGGGGTAATGAAGACCCAATAGTTGAGGTACCTAATGCAGAAAGCCTTTTCCATGTCCTTTAGGGGATTACAGAAAGGTTTGCAGTGCAGGAATTCGTGAGGACTTGAATGAGAAATGTCTCCCGTAAGAGCATGAATGGAAACATTTGTCCAATGATGCTGGCACTGTTTACGGGGAGGTTATGGAACTTTTAGAACATCAAGTCTTGTGAGAGGAAGTATTTCATTGGCGGTGGGCTTTGAGAGTTTATATAGCCTTGCAGGCCACTCTTTTAGCTTCTTCTGTGAGGCTGAGGTGTGTTCTCTCAGTTTTCTGGTCTGCACACCTGTTGCCACGCCTCCCCACCATTATAGATTAGCCCTCTGGAACCGTAAGTCCAAATAAACTCTTCCTTCTATCAGTTGTCTTGGTCATGATATTTTACCATTACTAAAAAGCAATTACTACAAGAAGAGAACACTGCAGTTTAGACTTTCCGATGTTTTGTGCCATCTTGGGCAGTGTTTTATAGAGCCATGTCTTAGGACTGTGATGAAACACCATGACCAAAAGCACATTGTTTATCACTGAAGGAAGTCAGGACAGGAACTCAAAACAGTACAGGAACCTGGAGGCAGGAGCTGATTCAGAGGCCTTGGAGGGGTGCTGCTTTCTGACTTGCTTCTCATGGCTTACTCAGCCTGCTTTCTAATTGAACCCAGGACCACCAGCCCAGGGATGGCACCACCCATGAGGGGATGGGCCCTTCCCCATCAATCACTGATTGTGAAAATGTCCTAAAGACTTGCCTGCAGCCTGATCTTATGCAGGCATTTTCTCAGCTGAGTTTTCTTCCTCTCTGAGGACTCTAACTTGCGTCAAGTTGACGTAAAACTAATCATCACAGAGCAGTGTATAAGAAACCCAGTTCTCAAGACAGCCTGACTGTGATGGTTTCTCTCATCAATTTGACAGGCCCTAAAATCACCTATGACATGTTTGTGAAGGGTTTAATTTACTGGAAAGACTGACCCTAAATGGGACCACCCTATGGGTTCCAAAGTACACAACAGGGAGAAACAGGTTGAGCAGCAGCGTTCATCCCTGTCTGCTTCCTGACTGTGGATGCCACGTGACCAGCTGCTCACAGTCCTGCCTCCATGACTCCCTCACCCGAATGGAACAGTCCCCTCAAACTGTGAGTTAAACCCTTTCTTCCTTAAGCCAACTTTGTCAGATGGTCGTCACAGTATTGACCAAGGGGGCTAATACAGTGCCTGCTTCACCTGTCTGCAAATGTGGGGATTTACAATTCTCATACGTAGCGGAGATCCCACAGAGCATCACATCTGGCTTGGATTCCAGAGTGTTAGCACCTAGGCTTTGAACTGCCTCTTGTGATGTTACCTTTATTACTGATACCGTTTGTTTGAGGTGTTTGAATCTCATCCGAGTTCTTCCAGAAGGGTTCAAGGCCTTTGCAAAACTTAGCTATGAGAGGACTTGGAAAACCAAGACTAAGAATTGCTTGGGCATTTGATTCCTTCAAGCAACTCCAAATTAAAGGTGTTGGTGTCCAGAAATTGACTTGCTAAGGTGTAAATTGTACAACAACAGAAAAGGCTGTTTGTGAAGCAACGGGCAGTCAGTTCACCAGAAACTGGCTCCCTTGCTGCTCTGCTAAGTCCAAATCCACCCTGGAGTGACCCCAATTCTTCCCTGGCCCTGTGTAAAACTGACACTAATAGTTTGAAGTAAGGCTTATGCCTCATTTGTCTTTGGATTCTTAAGCACATTAGGTAAATGAGTATTTAAATAATTAGCTTCTATTTAAGTGGGTCTGTCATAAATAACACAGGTTAATTCTTTTTTTCCTGTGTATCTTTACATTTATTAGTGTGTGTGTTCAAGTGTCCAGATACAATGTGTGTATGTGTACATGTGTGCTGAGACCACAGGTCATTCTTGAGTACGGTACTTTAGGAACCATTGGCCCCTTTTGGGCCTGGAGCATGCTGATTGGGTCAGGCTACTGCCAGTGATATCAGCCATCTGCCTACTTCTCCTCTTCATTGCTGGGATTACAACTCCGTGCCACCATGTTTGGCTTTCTTACATGCATTTGAGGATCAAACTTAGCTCCTTATGCTGGCTAGGGCATCTTCCCAGCCCCAAGTTTCTCTGTTTAAGTTGTCATCATTTCAGTCACAGTAAAGTTGTCACTAGAGTGACATCATTTCTCGCACCCCTTCCAACAAATCCTGGATTTGTTGTGTAATGAGTCTTTCTCTGTCCCACCAGCCAGCTCCCAAATCATGACAAGGAGACTTTAATTATAAAAGCGTGGCCTTAACTTAGACTTGTTTTTAACTATCTCTTATAACTTGAATTAACCAATTTCTATTAATCTGTGTTCTGTCGTGTACTGCCCATCCTGCTTCCTTCGTGTCTCCTCGAGTTCTTCCCAGAGTCCTCTCTGTCCCCGGAAGTCCCGCCTAACCTCTTCCTAGCTATTGGCCATTCATTATTTTATTACACCAATCACATCAATACATTTTCACACAGTGTACAAATCTCCCACAACCTTTGGGTGTTATTAAAACCTTTACTGATCTGCCATTTAACTTGAATTTGCTTTTCTATTGAGGTTGAACAGTTTTCATTATATTCTTCATTTGAGTTCTTTTTTATTCTTACTAACCTTGAACTCCTGATGATCCTGCCTCTAAATTTGAGTGTTGGGATTATAGGTATATATCACACACGTAACTTTTCATTATATTCTTGGCTATTTGTGTTATTTTTTTTTCTGAAAAATTTTTGACTATCCTTTTTTTCCTTTAAGATACATAATGTAATATATTTATAAACATTATGATATCATATTCCATTATGTATCACATATTACTTGATGTAATATAGCCCAGGCTGGTCATGAACTCACTCTGTAACCCAGGAAGTCCTGAACTTGTGATCCTCGTAAGTCTACAGCTATAGAAATAGACTGCCACATGTCGCATCCAAGGTCTTTTCTGTCAGTCCAACGTGTGTAGGAATTTTTATTAGGTGTTATGGACTCCTCC